CCGGCTCCTCTATCGGAGACGAGCTTGGCTTGTCAGCCCGCCGACTTGTCACGGCTCAAATTAAGCATGAGGAAATGGACCGTTGGGGTCGGGCCGGCAAGACCCGACCAGGCATTTTGTGCGGGCGGGTCGAGTCGGTCCGGCCCGATGTTGAATTTCGAATCGGATCGAGTTTGACCCGACCCAAAATTGGTTAAAAAACAGGGTAACCGGGTCGGGCTTTGACCCGACCCAATTACGACACTTGGGAAAACCCTAAAGTTGATATCGAGGGGATATTTTTCCCCTCGGCATCAGTCCCGCTACCTAGACATGAGCAAAATCACGAACGCACCTAAGTTGGGTCCGTACGTTTTTGGAACCACGTAATCGTAATGTTACGCGTAAACGTAAACGTACGCGTACGTACGCGTAAATTCGCGTAACATATGTCCGGGCAGGGTAAAAAAAATGTCAAACGACTAAGGGTGCGGGACAAGAGGCAGGATCTGAGATAAACAAATACTAGGGTGAGTGGGAGGAGGGTGGACAGTGTGCTCGGGTTAGTAAACCAGCACATGGAACTCGCACCTACTTGGGTGGTGGTCGAAACATCGTCGCACCACCCTTTGGTTGTGCATCTACAGCCAAAAAGAGGGTACAAGAGGGTTTGTTGGGCAGCCTAAAAGAAGTTGTAACCTGCCCGCAAACGTAAACGTATTCTTGATCCGCACACGTAATGTAAAACGTACGTAAACGTAAACGTACGCGTAACATCCAACTTAGGAACGCACGTTCGGTTCGTCCGACCATGTTCGGGACAAGCCGAACAGGGCTTGTTTTTTGGCCAAAATTGTGCATTGTTTATTTCATTCATGTTCGGTGTTCGCGCCTTTTTAGGTAAAAAAATTCACGAACATCGAACATGTTCGTCATTTTTTGGGGGTTACGCGAACATTAAAGTGTTCGAGTCTAAAGCAGCATGCCAAGCCGGCGCACTAAGTTGGATCTAGCGCGTGAAATAGGTATAGCGTTGTAGCAGGAGTAGATTAGCGTGTGAAGTGAGCATGCGTTTGCTTAAGTGTGTTTTGCGTACGAGGCCTGGTTGGGTTTGGGAGGTGCATTGCGGTACTGTGGGTTTTGGGTGGGCCCCACCTGGTGGGGTGAGCTGGTTGGGCGAAATTTGCGAAATTGCTGTGGCAATTAGAATCCAATGCAGATCTAATCGAAGGGGTGAAACGCGAAATTTTACGAACATTTTCCCACCCCACTGATTGTGTTTCCCGTCAGCCCAGGATGTAAAACCATAGCACATACACCGATTGTGTTTCCCGTCCCCTCGTTCTCCCACCGATTTTGCGGATTGTGACTATATTGAACAGGAAACAGATGGGCAAGCCCGAACATGTTCGGGTTCGCCAAAACATGCTGGATGTTCGCGAACACGTTCGCCCACCTAGGGCGAACACCGAATACTGAAAATCAGCAATAAATGTCCGGGCGAGCCGAACTTGTTCGGTTCGCCATTTTGACATCGTGAAGGTTCGTGCGAACATGTTTGGTGTTCGCACGATGCTCATGTCTACCGCTACCTAACTAACCGTCAGCCCAGAAATCCTAGTTTCTAGGCAAGTACCAGTCGACTAAGTGCAGAGGATCAATGTCAAGAGATCTGTAAAGACTGAGAGGGGGGGTTGGGAATTGTAGATTCAGTGCGGTAAAGGGTGGTAAGCAGTGGCGAGTTGGTTGGAAATGTTTGTTCCAACACATTTGTTGGAAACGAGTGCCTAGGCTGAGAATTTTACAGGTAAAATCCCGATGTTCAAAGATATCGCAATGAAATCGTCGATTTGTGGTTATCGACGATCTGCGCAGAGCGAGGGCAAGAGCGGGTTTCCTGACCCAACCCGACCTCGGGTCGGCCCGACCCGAAGTCAGGTCAGGCTTGACCCGGCCCTCTACCCCCGGGTCGGGTCAGGGTATCTAACATCCTGGCCCAGGGCTGGCCTGACCCGACCCAACCCAGAAACCCGTTTGGCCCGGCCAAGTCGGGTCGGGTCGGGTCGGGTCGGGTCGGGCCAAATGCTCATGCGTAGCAGAATACGAGCCACATCAGCCCAGATTTATGCTCATGTGGCAGAAAGGAGCCTTACAGGGATGACAGAGGTGGTAGAGAGCCATTTTCCACCGAGATTGAACCCTTGAATAGAGTTGAGCAGATGCCCCGTTCGGGTCGGGCTGACCCGACCCGACCCGTGGTTTTGCCCGGGTCGGGTCAAGATTTCCGAAACCCTGCCCCGTACGGGCCGACCCGACCCGACCCGGGCAGAAGCCCGACCCGAGGGACCATTTCGGGCCGGGTCGAGCCGGGTTTCGGGTCGGGTCGGGTCAGACCCGATTTCGGGTCAGAAATGTCGAAATCGGGTCGGGCCAGGTGCGCGACCCGATTTCGACATGGTTAGGGCCGAAACCCTAGAACAAATGTAAATCGAGGGGATTTTTTCCCCGTCGATTTCATTTCGCCACGCTAGCAGCTAGAGGACTTAGAGTAATAGCTAGCATTCCTTAAACTACCGACAATGCAAACATCACGGGTGGTGGTGGTAGACGCCCCATGTATTACCCAAAATATATTAAAAACAAGTATAACAGAGAAATTGCACAAATTGTGATGAACACCCCCAGCCCCCACCAAAGGGGCGGGTCTACTTGGCCCGACCCGGCCCGACCCGAACCCGGGTCCCCTTTGACCCGACTGAGTAGGCCCGGGTCGGGCCGGCTGTTTCAAGAATCTGGCCCGAGCCCGGCCCGACCCGACCCGACCCGAGAGCCCGTGTGGCCCGGCCAAGTCGGGTCGGGTCGGGCCGGGTCGGGCCGGATGCTCAACGGCCTTGAATACGAATGCAAGAAGGAAAAAGGAAGAACCAGACCAGCAGGTGGAGGTACAACGTGGGCAAGCACAAGGGCAGTGACCCGTGTAAAACAGAGGACGTCGGGATTTTTCCATCAAAACGAGCCTCTCCTCTAGGCATTCACTAGCATGAAGAGAGGAATGCTGGTGACTTTCTTTGAGGAAATTGGTCTATGAGAAAGTAGTGTGGTTGTGATGGAAAATAGAATTGGCAACACCAAAGGCAGGGAATTATATCTGAGCACCACATTTGAACCACAACCCATCCATTCAAAACACTAATGAAGGGGTGTAAGGATAAATTCTTATCTCGCGTCAGACAAGAAGTGGATGTTCAGAAGTCAGAGTGGCTCGGGATTCAGGCAAGTCAATGTTCCGAAGACACAAACCGAGAAGTTTGCGTCTTTCGAACCTCCAAATTCGTGTCTGACACGAGATACAAATGCGCCCTAACCCTAACTAACTCTATGTTGGAAAAAAACGCTGGGGCTTCGACGCATATCACGTTTATACGATAACGTATATACGGAAAAACGTGATACGTTCCATAATACGTGATACGTCTCGTCGGGCAGCACGAAAAAAGAAGAAGAAGAAGAAATACGTTGCCTCTTATTCCGCGATCTGCCATTCCGCGAAACCTAATTTTGAGTTTCGAAAGTCGATTGCCACCCCCTCCCTCCCCTCCACCGCACATCACCTCACACCACCTCCCAAACCCTACCTTTCTGTTCCCAACCTTTCACGTCGGCGTACGTACAAGAGCTAGAAGAAATTTTTTGAGTATCATTTGTCTCATGCCTCTTATATTCTATGTCCCTTCTTAACTCGTAGTTTAGCTTTGAACAGCTATGTCGACCGCTAATGTCGCACCTGTTATTGCTAGCAATGGAGTAACGTCGCACAGCTTGCCAGATCTTTGCAGCCGCAATGTCAGGGCGGTTTAGCCAACGAAATTTCTAACATTTCAGAGTTCCTAATCGCGAAAACTACAAGGGAGTAATCCGCATCTGCAAGTATTGCGGAAGTATTTTTCCCCTGAGACATTCTACCTCCACCGAAGTGTTTTTCCCCTGCTCGTAGGTTTTTTTTGCCTGCCCGACACAGCGTATTCTGGGCGTTTTTAAAACTGGCAATCCGGCGTATCCCGTACGTACGGTAGCGCATAGTACGTACGCTACTGATACGCCACGCGTATTTTCCAACATAGCCCTAACTGGGTGCTTCACAAATTACTTCATCATTCAATGCGTGCATGTACGTACATGTATGTATGTACCATGTCACCCCCTTTACTAATAGCTCACTCCGAACTTGGAAACAACGCTCAAACGTATTTGTGTACAACGTAAAAAAAAAAAAAAAAAAAAAAAAAAAAAAAAAAAAAAAAAAAAACGCTGTGATGTTGTTAAAGACACACTGAGATACACACGGGCTGACCGGAAACAAAAATACAAAACCATTGAGTTGAGTTTCTCAGGCGGCGAACTCATTTTAAAACTTTGAAATTCAAAGATGATTTAGCACATCGGGATAGCACCCTCAAATCTGCAGTTTGACATTGATGTGCATCATCTCGTCCTGTCCACCGCTCAACAATATATTTCACCCCCGTTCTTTCCCCAATCCCTTCCGGACGTGTCTTCCCCATCAAAAAGTCGGGACATTTCTGCATTCGATACTCATCGTACGTTTTCTTCCCTTCATGGCTCACCTGCCACGATGACCGCTAGTACAATAGCACTCATCACTGTCTTAACCTGCCCAGGAATGTCTTAACCTGTCTGGGTCAGTGTATTTTGTAGCGAGGCAGCTTGCCATGAGGCACGGCCTGTCGAAAGTAGGCACGTTGAATTTGAGATTCAAGCGAATTGGCTAACCCATGCGAATCTGCTAGATAGGGGCATGTCAGGTCGGGTCTGAGTTGGCCCATCATGACCGCCCTAGGGTAAGGCGGCATCCTCCTCATCCCTTCCCCCCATTACAGTTAATGAAATGAGCCCCAACTTTCTAGTTTTGCCTGACTTGAACTAACCGGCAAACCAAACCGTTGAACTGGAACAGACGGTTTGAGTCGAACCAGAACCGGTTCGTCCAGACCTGGATCTGAATGGCAAAGTACACGCCCAGGTTAGGTACTGCGCTCATGCGTACTTCGATTGTACCGACCTGGCACATATTTCTGGATTACAAAAACCAATCTAGCTGGCTGATATGGTGAGCATGCGTGTCGACCAATATTTCCAACAATGGTACTGCCTGACAAGCATGGTAGTACTTAGCTTCCTGCCAACTTGTGCGCGACTTACAAGACAGTGGCTTGAGTGAGAGCACTGATACTAGCAGGAATGCTTCCTGAGAGTTGGTTCATCGAAACATCCCTGGGAGTAGGGCAGGAAGCAATTGCATGGAAAATTATTGAACAAGCACTAAGGCGTTCCTTGTCAAGAAAGGTAAGGAACTGACAGTACTCCGGACCGGAGAGTGCTGACTCAGGCAGGTGAACGTGTAATTTCATATTTTATGCAACATACACAGGCTAGAATTAGATGTGTAGCACTTTTATAAATTGGGGGGTCATTTAGTGTACCCTCCAACCACATTTTGTGGTTGGTGAGGATTGGTCCTTAGCTCAACCAAACCCAACCAGCACACATTTGTGGTTGCTTGGGCCACAAGCAAGCTCACCAATTGGCCAACTTATTGGCCAATAGGGTAAGCTTCTTTCTCATCCTTCTCTTGCTCATTGCTTGTACTAAAGAGCCTCTTGGCTCATTATTCAACGTATCAATTCTTCTTTCTCACATGGTAATCAAAGCTAATGGCTCACGCCCTACCAAGATCCTTAGGACCGTCCTAACATATACCTCTCCTCGTTCCCGGACAATCCTGGCCTTCCTCGCCGTGTTTCCTTACGTGCTACCTCGCTCTTCACGTCTTAGGCGCTACCCTCCTCCCCGCAGACCAGATCCGGCCTCCCGCGGACCAGATCTGCCCTCCCGCGGACCAGATCCGCCCTCACGCGGACCAGTTCCGCCCTCCCGCGGACCAGTTCCGCCCTCCCGCGGACCAGATCCGCCCTCCCGCGGACCAGATCCGCCCTCCCGCGGACCAGATCCGCCCTCCCGCGGACCAGATCCGCCCTCCCGCGGACCAGATCCGCCCTCCCGCGGACCAGATCCGCCCTCCCGCGGACCAGATCCGCCCTCCCGCGGACCAGATCCGCCCTCCCGCGGACCAGATCCGCCCTCCCGCGGACCAGATTCGTCCCCCCCGCGTAGGGTTGAGCAAAAAAACGAAAACCTGTTCGGTTCGCCTCGAACACGTTCGAGGCGAACCGAACAGGTTTGTTTTTTTTGCTTAAAGTGTTCGCCAAACAGTGTTCGAGGTTCGCCCGAACACGTTCGTGTTCGGGCCGCTGCTGCAATTTGCCCCGCGACGAACACGAACGTGTTCGAGGTTCGCCCGAACACGCCTTCACAGGCGAACGGCGAACACCTGTTTTTGCTTAATGTGTTCGCCGAACCGAACAGTGTTCGGTTCGGCAAACGGCTGTGTTCGTGTAGGGGCGAACACGAACACGTTCGTGTTCGCCCCTTGCTCATCCCTACCCCCGCGTGCTCAGCGACCTACCTTCGTGACGGCCGCGATTTTGTCGCCGACGGCCGCGATCTCCTCGACGGCCGCGATCTGCTCGTTGACGGCCGCGATCTGCTCGTTGACGGCCGCGATCTGCTCGTCGCCGGCCGCGATCTGCTCGCCGATGACCACGATCTTCTCGCAAACGGCCCCGATCTGCTCGTTGACGGCCCAGATCTGCTCGCCAATGGCTCTTGTCTGCTCGCCAACGGCCGCGATCTGCTCGGCGACCGCGATTTGCTCGCTGACGGTCGCGACCTACTCTTCGACGGCCCTGATCTGCTCGCCGACGGCCGCGATCTGCAAAACAGGCCACGATCTGCTCGGCGGCCGCGATTCGCTCGCCGACGGCCGTAATCTACTCGCCGACGGCCGTGATTTGCTGGCCAACGGCCGCGTTCTGCTCCCTGACGGCCGCGACCTGCTCACCGCGGGCCTTCCTTGCCAGCCGCACGGGCCTCTTCGTCGCGTGCATCTGCGGCGAACCTGTCCTCGCGCGCATCTGCGGTAAGTCCAGCCGCTGGACTCCAGTGCCTCCGCATCGCACCTCCTCGCCCAACGCGTCCGCCGCAAGTCTGTCCATGGTCGGCCTGCTTGCCACGCGCGCCCACCGCAACATACGTCTTCCTCCTCCTTCCCTTCTCCCGCCTTCCCCCCCGCTCGTCCTCCTCCTATTCTACCCAGCAGCGGGACCAGCAACGGCAGCAGCAGCGGGACCAGCAGCGGCAGCAGCAGCGGGACCAGCAGCGGCAGCAGCAGCGGGACAAGCAGTGGCAGCAGCAGCGGGACCAGCAGCGGCAGCAGCAGCGGCAGCAGCAGCGGGACCAGCAGCGGCAGCAGCGGCGGCAGCAGCAGTGGGGACCAGCAGCAGCATTAGCCGTGGGACCAGCACTCCACCCGCCTTCTCCCCCTCTCTCCCATCACCCTCGTCCCTATGGCATCGTCATCTGATTCCTCTGTCGGTCTCGCTACAGTTGACGCACTTGAGCTACTTGCCGACAACTCTGCTGCCAATTGGCACTCTTACGCTCACTCGGTCGAGGTGCTCCTCTCCTCTGTCGTAGTTAGCGGCTACAACCTTTGATCGATTGTGTTCCAGAAAGCCGGTCTTCAGCCCGTCGCCCCCACCGCTCCTACTCGGCCTGCCCCTGCCCGTCCTGGCGCCAAGCCTATCCCCCCTAGTGACCCTCCCACCTTCGCGACGAATATAAACGACCCACAGAGCTCGGAAACCGCCATTCGCACATACCGCACCGCTCTCCAAGAGCACCTACGCTAGCAACTGCATTACGAGGACGACGCTGCTGCCCTATACGACAAGTAACAAGAGGACCTCAACACCTACGCTGCACAACTTGCCGACTACAGCACCAAAATCACTGCCTGGCGAGTTGCTGAGCGACGCACGCTTGCCATTCTTCTCGCCACCATCCCCTCCTCCCTCAAACAAGAGCTCGCACCCACCTCCTCCTCCCACCTCTGACGACTACTCGTCGACCTGTTTGACCGGCAAGACGTTGCCACCCTCTACGCTCTCATTAAAGAATTCGGAACTCTCTCCATGGATTCCACCTCCGGCGCAGCCGCCTTCACTCGCCGCGTCCTAGACCTCGCTCGGCGCCTTGCGGCACTCGATGTGGTGTACCGGGACACCGTCATCTGCTGCCACCTCCTCGAGGGCCTCACGCCTGCCTTTGACGCCCACAAGCTTGCTTACATGCAGCTTATCTCCAAGCACCACACCGCTGCTGAAGTCGCTCAGTGGATTATCACCACCGAAGCTGAGATCCTTCGCCACTCTTCCTCCACAGTCGCAGCAGCTCAGCCGCGCATCAGCCGGGGTGGACGAGGCGGATCGGCAGGTCGCGGTGGCACTAGTAGCAGTGGTGCGGGTCGTGGTCCGGCAGCTACCTTTCCTCCCTATCAGAATCTGCCTCGCTACGGTCCCACTCAGGGACAGCGCTGCGGCCAAACCACTCATGCCACTCACTGATGAGTGGTTTGCCCGTGGCAACACCGGCACCCCTCCTCGCTGGTCCACCTCCAACCCTCGCCCCACTCCCCTTCAATCCCCTCTAATGAGTGATGAGGTCCGTTCCAATCCCCTCTATGAACCTTCCTCCTCCACCCAGGCCCATCAGGCCCTCGTCCCTCCCCAGCAGCAGCAGCAGCAACAGCAGCAGCAGCTTGGGAGTCAGCAGCAGGGGTCACAGCAGTATGGGCAGCAGCTTCTCCTTTCTCAGCTCCAGCAGCAGCTCCAGCATCTCCAGCAGCAGCTCGACCTACAGCCGTAGCTGCCCCTCCTCCCTCCTCCTCCCGTTTCCCAGCAGCAACCCTTTCCTACCTGGACTGCCAGAAGTGCTTCCTCCGCAGCCCATCTCTCGGGTGTATCTCCGGCGCCGTCTGCAGGTGGCAGTGTAACTGCTCTCCCCTCTTCTAGTTGTGTCGGTTTGCTAGGTCAACCTGAATATGTTGCATCTCCGATGTACCCTTCTTCTGTTAATGAAACTTCGTTCCAGTACTCTACCTCACCCTCCTCCACCCTTGACTTCGTCCTAGACAGTGGAGCCACTGACGCTGTCCTTCGTGATGCTGGCACACTGCGCCCTCTCCCCACACCCACCTCCCTCCTCGACGCTGCTATCAGTCTTTCCATCCCCTGTCACAACACCTCCACCCTTCCCTGTCCTCTCTTTCCCTCAAGTACTGTCACCAGTCTCCACATTCCCTCCCTTCGTACTAACCTCATCTCCAAAAGGTCCCTCCAACAAGTCAATATCACCACTGTCTTCCTAGGTGGTGCTAACCACTGTGCCCTTTGTCAGAACTTGGGCAAAGGAAGGATGGGGAAGGGAATTAGGGGCAATCTCTGGGGATTGAAGGTAATCCCAAGGCAATCTCCAATTGGTGGGTTGGAGATTGCTTAGACATCACATTTGGGTTTCGTTGGGATGTCGGTGTACACCCAACCAAACACAAAGTGCAAACTACACTACGCTAGGATATAGAAAGTACAAAATACAAAGTGTGAGATTGAGGTGTAACACTAACACCCTTTACCATACCGCTATAGGTCGCCTTCTCTCCCGTATTCCCTTTTGTCCTCATTCTCATCTCTACACCCTTCGGGTTCCCTGCACCCCCACCTGCCAAGTTGCCTCTCCCTCCCTCTTCTTCCCCCCTCCCGTCCCTCCCACTAACCCACCCCTCCTCCCCCCCCGCCCCCCTGACTCTGACTGTTCCTGTCGCTCCCTCTCCCACCCTACTAGCCTCCTCCATCACACGCTAGGTCACCCTAACTTCGCTACTCTGCGCTCCTCTGTCTCCTCCATCTCCTCCACGGTCTCCCCTCTTCCCTCCCTCCCCTCCCCAAATCCCCTGCCCCCCCCTTGCACCGTCTGCGTTCGGAGCAAGCTCAAGCAGCATCCGCACTGGAGCTCCCCCTCCGCTCCTGCCCAGCCACTTGATCTTGTTCACATGGACCTCTGGGGGCCTAATCCCTCTCCCACTCGCAAGGGCCATCACTACCTTCTCACGCTCGTTGATGATCACAGTCGGTACTCGTCCGTCTCTCTCCTTCGGACGAAGGCGGATGCCCCGGCTGCAATCATTGCCTGGCTCAAGCGGGCAAACACCCATTTTGAGCGCTATGTTCGACGCCTTCACTCTGATGGTGGTGGTGAGTTCCTTAACAACCAAGTATCCTCCTATGTCAACGGGAGTTGTGTGTTGGCCCCGTCCTCGCTTGGGCGGAGCCGACTTCGTGGTCGGGTGTGAGGGGAGCAGCCGACCTGCAGCAGTGGGCGAGCTGGTTGACGAGGAGGTCGACCTGCACGGGGGCCACTGCACGGGCGCCGACTTCAGGGTGGCGCCGACTTCAGGGAGGTCGACCTGGGAAGTCGACCTGCGGATGACGTCAACTTGGTGACGTCAACTTGGGGGTAGCCGACTTGGGTGGTCGGCTAACAGGACTGCTGGTCGACCTGGTGGTTGGTCGACCAGGCCTGCTGGTCGACTTGGTGGTAGGTCGACCAGGAGTGACGTCGACCTGGTGGTCGACCTGACTTGGTGGTCGACGGAGGAGGGGCCGACGTTGACCACGACTCAGGACACCGAGCAGCTGGGCGTCGAGTAGCAGGGCGTCAACTTGGTGACGCCGACTTCGGGTAGCCGACTTGGGTGGTCGGCTGACAACTGCGCTGGTCGACATGGAGCTGGTCGACCAGGAGTGCTGGTCGACGTGGAACTGGTCGACCAGGAGTGACGTCGGCCTGGAGCTGGTCGACCAGGGGCGTGGTCGACCTGGTGAGGTCGACTTGGGGTGGTCGTCGACTTGGGAGGTCGACGGGCACATACAGGAGCAGCTGGTCAACGTGGTTGCCCGGTCGACCAGGTTACCTGGGTGACGAGGTTCTGCGGAGGAGTGCGACGGTCGCCCAGGCGAAGTTGGCGAGTCCGACCTCGGTGGTGGTATCCCGAGGTCGACGTGGCTGATCAGATGCAGTCGTCAGCGCCAGGTTGACTTGGTGTGTGCGCTGTGCAGGTGACGAGGCTCAGCACGCCAATCATCTGCGAGCACCTGCGAAGCTGGTGCGATGCTGTACTGCGGGAGCAACGCTGGCACGCCGTCAACCTGCATTGTTGGCACGCCGTCGACTTTGCACTGCTGGAGCGCGGTCGACCAAGTTGTGCTGGAACGCGGTCGACCATGCTGTGCTGGTAGTCGACCAACCAGAATGCTAGCTCTGATGTAGTCTTCCATGCCAACTTCTTTGTACCATTGTTGTCAACCTTCTCTAGTGAAACTCTTGCCAACTTGCCCCGTGAACTAGCAAGCAGCGTGTGCACTAGGAAAACGACTAAGGACCAACGAACGCAGAGATCACACGAGCACCCGTGCCTAGCCCGGAGTCTATCTCCCGTTGTAGTAGTTATCTCCGCATCCTATTGTTAGTCTCGTGGCATTCTTCAAACTTACACCCCATGAGGAGTTCCTTGACCTCCACCTCTGTGACCCCTCGCTTCTACCCATCACATTCGAACTCTCTGGCACACCCGTCTTCGCCTTCTCCTCCGCTCCCTCCATTTTCATCCCTTCCACGTATAAGGAGGCAATGGCTTGCCCTGACGCTCCGCTCTGGCTCGCCGCCATCATCAAGGAGCTGGAGGCCTTTATCGCCAACTCCTCGTTCATTGATGTGCCTCGCCCTCCCGCCTCTACGAACGTGGTGAAGGGGAAGTGGGTGTTTCGCGTCAAGCAGCTGTCAGGGGAGCCGCCCGTCTACAAGGCTCGTTATTGTGCCAAGGGCTTCACGCAACGGTATGCTGTTGACTTCTTCGATACCTTCTCCCCTACC